CTGGCTTTTGTTGCACAATGAAAACAAACAGAGGATCCCAGGTTAAGCAGCAGAGAACTTTGGTTGCTGTACTAGATAATTTGGTGTCACTATCATAAACTGCTTAATCTTACAACAATAGACATTTTGCATGTATTTGAAATTGGTGCTGGATTTTGGAGGTAAATAAGGCTACCTCTATGTTTCATGAAAATTTTCCAGTTGAGTCAATATCACTTTCCCTCCGCACTTTTAATCATTTGTCACTTATCTCTCACCTTATTACATTGCCAGAGCTTGACTTCTTATGTCTCTTACAACTGTGTTACACATCAGTAACTCAGCTGTCATGAGATAACCCAGTATCATTGATGTAAATTATCTTTACCACTGCAAGGTTCACAGTGATCTCTGTCTGTTTCAAATGGAAATAATTTGAGATCTCATGTCTGATAGACAATTCTAAGCAAGTTATCTTGTCCATCCCAGTTTGCCTAATGAATAAATCTGTAAACTAAACTCCATTATATTCTAAATGCCACATTGGAGCCATTGGCCATTCTCCTAAGCACTAAAAAATGATAACATTCATAGGACTGAACTGCTTAGGTTTATTTCAGTCAACATTTAGGTGTGTCTGCTTACCACTTTGGACCTAAGACCATGTACCACTGCTTTTTAAAGTCAGGAAGGATAAAATACTTATATATTTGCAAAGAACTCAGCAAAAACACATCAAGAACATCTCTGACCTCTTTACTCCATAATTTCTGTTTCCACATTATATTTACATACATTTCATGAGTAGAAATGAGCAAATCAATCTATTTTGGAAATCCATCATTTTTGCATGTCTTTGCTCTTTAATACATTCCATCATATTTTCAAACTAATTTCCATTTTCATATTAAAATCTACAACTCAAAACTTCCAAACTGAAATACCAATTCAATGAGTATATTGAAACATATTTTCCACCAAGACATACTTTTCTACCAATATTTTATCTCAAAACTTCCATTAAATTTTAGTTAGTTTTAAGACAGGATATGCATTTTTAAATGTTTTTATTCTTCTTTGAGCAAAAATTTGAAGAACATTTTGAGAGTTCAAAAGCACATGGATCACTAAAGTTCTGTCCCTTTTATTGGTTCAAGTTCATAATGGAGTTTTGCAAAGATCAAATTCTTCAAATATTTCTGATTGAACATCCAAGTGTAAACTATAAGGTTTTCAAAGTGAAGCAGATATCTGAATAAAAGGCAGTACAATCCAAAGAATAAAAGCAAGAAAGGGAAAGATTGAATTGGAGGGAAAGTGTTTCTAACTTAAGTATGAAAACCCAGAGATCATTTGTGCTCTTAGAATTCACCTAAAATACAGAAAGTCAGACAGTCACTTCAAGCAAAAGAAGACCAGCTGGTTCAGGAGAACAACAAGCTTCTTTAAAAAAAATTCCCAGGAGAGGAAACTAGACAAACTTTTATAAGAGAACCACACAGACCCTATAAAAAGAAGAGTGGTGAGGGGGGAAAGTCTTGTGGTACATTTCAGGACAAATAGGTTTCTTTTAGCACAAGGTTTCATGGATCACCTTCTTCCTAAAATGCTTCTATAGACTATGCAAAAAGACCTTGTAGCACCTTTGAGATTAAAAGAAGTTGTTAGCATTAGCTTTTGTAGAGTGTGAGTGCATCTACACTGCAGAAATAATGTAGTATGATACCTCTTTAAATGTTGTAGCTCCAGTCTATGGAATCCTGGGGTTTGTAGTTTTACAAGGTCTTTAGCCTTCTCTGCCAAAAAGGGCTGGTGCCTCACAAAATGATAAATCCCAGGATTCTGCAGGATGGAGCCATGGTAGTTAAAGTGGCCTCAAATTGCATTATATCTTCAATGTATGCTGTAGATTAACTCTGAGTCTACCTCATCACAATTCATCAGCATTCATATGGGTATGTACTGACCTTGACTTTAGGAAATACTTTTCCTCCCACCTTTGTCCCCTAAGGACCATTGGCCATTGTTAGCAGTGAGCTTGTCATCTCATCACTATGCCTGCCAGTTTTGCATTTCTATTGCTATTCACACACACAACCTGCTCATCCATAGCTATAAAGCTCTATTCCTAGGCACTTTGCTCCATGCATCTGACAAAGTAAACTAAGGACCTTATCACACGGG